ACACGTTACTTCATGAGATCAGTCTGGTTCCTGAAAAAAATAAAATAAAAAATATCGGCCGATATATCGGATTTTAAAACCAACAAATATTTGTATCGGTATTAGGGCTGTCAACGAATATTCTAAATTCGAATATATATTCGAATAGTTTTAAAAAACAGAAATTCGAAGGTGAAAATTAATATTCGAATTAAAAAAAAAAAAACGCCCGCGCAAGCAAAGGCGCGGCTGTCTGTTTTGCGAGTGGCCGTGCACGCTGCCTGATTAGGGTTCAGAGACAGGTGTCGCACTGGCACAGAGTCACTCACTGCAGAAAGTGCAGAGCCCAACTCGACCGCAGCAGAGAAAGTGATTTTAACCCCCCAAAATGAGTGAGGCCGCTGCCGGACAGACACGTGATCGGCAGCCCGCTGAGAAAACTGCGTTATCTGCTATGGTCTCTTCGGAGACACGTATTGCGCGGACAACCCAGACCAGGACATCAATTTGCTGCTTCAAAAAGAGATGTTAATGTATGAACAAGAGTCTCCAGTACCTGCTCAACAAAATCCTCTCATGTGGTGGAAAACTTTGGGCTCTGGGAGATAGGCTAGTCTACCCTCACATTGCCCAGATGGCAAAGAAATATCTTTCCATCCCCGGATCCTCAGTGCGCGTTTTTTCCTCCGCTGGGAATATAGTAAATAATAAGAAATTAGCACTGGCCCCTTCAAATGTGGACTGTCTTGTGTTTTTGGCAAATAACCTGTAGACCCGACGGTGACAGTGCGCACTAAAAAGACGACGGAATAAATTGCCGTCAGTTTTTTTTCTTCCTTTTTTTTATTCAAGCACCAAGAATGTAAGTAGCCTTTTTCGTTTTTAATAGTTCTTTATTTTTTTATGATCCTCAGGGTAAAGGCGTTGTCACATTTCTCGGAATTGTGTGCCTCATTTTATTTAACTTTAAACAGAAACAGCCTGTAGGCTAACTAATTAGATAGGCCTATTGCGTTGGAGCGTGAGGTTTGCAGTCTTGCCCATTACTTTGTTGTACTTTTTTGTGTAGGTAATACGTTATTAAATATGTTTAAAATTAAATAAAGTACCTATACGAGTTATGCCTCTTTGTATTAATTCGTCCTATAATGACGTAATGCGCGTCACTGAAAAAATGCGCAACCAGATATTCGAATAGTTCGAATATTCGCATGTTTTTTTCGAGGGAATATTCGAACGTAATTTTTGAGCAATTTTGACAGCCCTAATCGGTATCGGCCTTCAAAATCCTTTATCGGTCGGGCTCTAAAACAGATAACCCGATTCTTTTTAAACGCATGCACAAGCAAGGTGGATGGCCTTGGTTCTCTTCTCACTGAAGAGATGCAAGTTTGAACTTGACTGCAATAAAGCTGCAAAAAGCCTCTCCAAAAATGCATTGGATAAAATCGCTATAAAGAGCAGATGCATTTGCATGGATTTTTTTTTTTTTTTTTTGGAGAAGGCCGGTTTGGAGCTCAGAGGTGTGGGCGTTTAACAAGTCGCCAACAGCTCATCTTCATTTTCAATTCATTTTCCGCCCTCGTAGCAGGAGATCTGCCCAGCCCGTTCGCGAGAGCCAGTACGCTTTCACAAGCCTCCTCTGAGGCAGAGTGTGTACGAGTGAGCGAATTATGTGTGAATGCATGAAAAGGTCATAGCATTACTTGACCAGAATGTGTGTGTGTGTGCGTCTAAGGCTTTAACTCACACAAACTGTAAGAATAACACACTGTGATGATTCAAGCTCTCAAGCAGACACACAGATGCAGACAAACATGCTTGAATGAACTCACACGCCAGGGCCACACAAAGGCCGTCTACAACATAAATAAGACATAAGACAGACAGAGTATGGCACAAGACATCAGCACTCAGGATACTCAGACTCCTCTCTGAAAATTTCAAGAGATTCAAATGAGCATTTTGGCATTCTTCGAAATGATGTTTTGTCTTCGGAGGAACAAAAAAGTAGAAAATTGCCTGTGTCGATTGATTTTTCAAAGCAATTACAATGAATGGGATGCAAAAGCATAATTGAAAACAACACAAAAGTAGTTCAATAGAGGGTTGTTATCGTTAACTAAAACTTAAACAAGAAAAACAGTTGTTTTTTTTTTAATTGTTGTTGGTGTTACTTAAAAGTACATTATCTGAAAAGAAAACATTTAAAAATATAAATATATTTTATTTCAGCTAGATTAATCTCTTTCATTTAGTTCAAAGTACTAAAATAACTAAAACTAAATTAGCTTTAAAATAAATGTGAGTGCTGTGTTCCAGTGCTATATTAGACTTATGAGAAACAAACTAAAAGTAATCATAATATACTGAGAACAATGCATTATAAAATATAAATAAAATGCTAAATATGTAAGAAAAAAATATGTATTGATATACTATTATATGTACATACTGTAGATTAGGGCTGTCAAACGATTAATTACGATTAATCGCATCTAAAATAAAAAGTTGTGTTTACATAATATAAGTGGGTGCAGTGTGTATAATTATTTTATATATATAAATACACACACATGCTTGTATATATTTAAGAAATATGTTTATGTATATACTGTATATAGATTTATATATAATTTATTTTATATATAAATATTTTATATATAAATAATATTTTTTTCTTAAATATATTTGCATGTGTGTATTTAAATATATATATGTATATATATATATATATATATATATTATTTTGGATGTGATTAATCGTGATTAAAGCCCTACTGTAGATACATATATTGATTTTTGTAATATTATAATAAGTGATAAATCAAATTGTATAAGTGCAAACACATACACACAATAAATAAACACTATTTGTTTCAATGCAGTAAATTTAAATGACGTTTTTTATAATACAGTAATGAAAAAGAGTTTTGATTTTTTTTTTTTTAGTAGCAATGCCTGGTATTTTGTATAAATAGCTGCCTGTCCATGTTTAACAGTGTTTTCCCAAAAGGAACGGCGCAGGCCGCCTAATATCTAATGCTTACATGTCTCAAACATGTTGAATAATGCATGAAGCTGCATGTGGTGGTTTAATATTGCGTATAGGCATGATACGGCATCGTACAGTAACTACAGTCCATTCCGGCCAAAAACACCAGAGCTGGCTGGGAACGTTATGATCCAAAAACAGCAAGCACGCCTTGTTCACGCAAACTCATTAAACATACGGTATAAAGTACCACTGGTCCCTGCTCAAAAAGCATGTTTACAATCAATACTAATTCAGCATGGAGGGGAACAGGGGAGACGGATAGAGAGGGAAAGAGAAAGAGTGGAAAGGCGCCGTTGGCAGTGAGCAGGTCTCCAGGCGAGACTTTCAGCACCATCTGTTTCCTGCTCCTCAGTTCCAGTCTTAAACCAGTCCTGCACAAGACTAAACCCAGCTGAACCAGCCTAGACAGGGACTAAACCTTTAAACAAGCTATCAAGACAAATCCCACAAGTCCAGTTCAGTCTCAGACTATGAACGGAAAATCTGTTAAATAATCTTCTCCCCTCCTTCCTTTCTTACATTATTTACGTTTATTATTTCCTTCCTCATTGCCTGCTTCATTTCCTTCTTGCTGCGTTTCCCTTTCTGTCATTCCGTAAAATTCTTCAATCCTTCATTCTTCCCTTTTCACTCATCTTGCATACTTTCCTTTCCTTCCCGTTAAAAATGATTTACTAAAAAGGTCCAAAACTTGTAACTCTAGCCAAGAGCAAAGCTATTTCTACTGCATTATTGTGTGTGTTGTACATGGATATAAACCCCTTACTAATCTCCAGTGCAGCACCAGAGTACTCGCACTACAGCGGTCTGTGTGTGGCTCTCTGGCCCGGCCGACATGTGTGAGTGTCTGTACACAGATGCCACGCTCTGTCTCTTTTAGCAGGAGCCGAGGGAAACCGCATCGGGCTAACCAATGTGTTTGTGGCTAGCCAGCAATCCACTGCTATTCCAGATCCAAGAGGAGAGAGTGCACATACACATATACATCTATATGATACAGAAACAAATATAGAGAAATATATATACATTTCAAAGAATAGACAGACAGACAGACAGACAGACAGACAGACAGACAGACAGATAGATAGATAGATAGATAGATAGATAGATAGATAGATAGATAGATAGATAGATAGATAGATAGATAGATAGATAGATAGATAGATAGACAGACAGACAGGATGACAGACAGACAGACAGACAGGATGACAGACAGACAGACAGACAGACAGACAGACAGACAGACAGACAGACAGACAGACAGACAGACAGACAGACAGACAGACAGACAGACAGACCGACCGACCGACCGACCGACCGACCGACCGACCGACCGACCGACAGACAGACAGACAGACAGACAGACAGACAGACAGACAGACAGACAGACAGACAGACAGACAGACAGACAGATAGATAGATAGATAGATAGATAGATAGATAGATAGATAGATAGATAGATAGGATGACAGACAGACAGACAGACAGACAGACAGACAGACAGACAGACAGACAGACAGACAGACAGACAGATAGACAGACAGACAGATAGATAGATAGATAGATAGATAGATAGATAGATAGATAGATAGATAGATAGATAGATAGATAGATAGATAGATAGATACATAGATAGATAGATAGATAGATAGATAGATAGATAGATAGATAGATAGATAGATAGATAGATAGATAGACAGATAGATAGACAGATAGGATGACAGACAGACAGACAGACAGACAGACAGACAGACAGACAGACAGACAGACAGACAGACAGACAGACAGACAGACAGACAGATAGATAGATAGATAGATAGATAGATAGATAGATAGATAGATAGATAGATAGATAGATAGATAGATAGATAGATAGATAGATAGATAGATAGATAGATAGATAGATAGATAGATAGATAGATAGATAGATAGATAGATAGATAGTACATCTGATGGTATGACTGAATGAAACATTTTTAAAAGGCCTGTTTAACACATCTCATCTATAGTGTCACAGAACCCAATCATCAGACGTTCTGTGACCCTGTGAGACACACACACACACACACACACACAGTCCTACCAGAAGGAATGTGGTTGACTCCAGATGGCTTCAGAAGTTCCAGTGGCTGTTCTTTACTGGGAAGTCCATCTGCGGGAGAGAGAGAAACAATTCCAACTGAGAAATGGCGTGTAGCGCTGAGGATCAGGGCAGCATACGTCATCAGGAGATTCTATTACAGCTCTGAACACAAACTACATATGCAAAATATGGACCACTGCCAGGGAAGACGCCATATATTTGATGCAAATGAATGTGAGGGATTGACATGCACTCGCTGTCTTAAAGGTAACAAAATCATCTCCATTTCATTTCTTTCTAATACATGTTCCTGCTTTCCCCTTGTAATCTTTCATCAAAAATGTAATGTCTTATCTAATACAACTTTCATACCAGGTCGCAAATGTTTTTTTTTTCCTCTGCAGTTTCACTGAGGATTTTGTGTATGTGTGTGTGGCATATTTTCAATATTTCATCAGCTAAAAAATCCACACTGAAGCACAACACCTACTGAACCTGCTGAATATAAACTGTGTGTCTATCTCTCACAGACACATTTTTATTTGAATCAATTTAAATCTGCCATTTACCCTGAAAAAGGTCCACAGTCCACAGCACACATGAAATGAACACGCGACAGATTTCCTAAAGCAAGATTTATAATTACGTGAAAAGGCAAAACAACATCAGTCGGCAAGATAACTCAGGGAGAACCAGCTATAAATAGCCTAGATCTCTAAAAGAGGGAGAGGGAGGGAGAGAGGGAGAGAAAGGCTCAATGCAGAATACATGAGAGCATTAGCATTCACAAACACACACACATGCATACAGTAGCAGAGGGATCATAAAACCTGCACGGCTCATCTTAATCCACCATAACAAAGGAGAAAGTGTGCATAGGGGGAATCTCATAAAACCCTTTAAGAACAAACAAAAATGTTTTTCCCATTGTGACATTTTCATTAAGGCATGCATGCATATTCTTCTCAAACGCTCATTACAGTAATGTAAAAAGAAATAAAAATAATCATATGGTACTATAAGCATTTATACATCAGTAGTTTTGTGTGATAGCTTAATATATTGTTTAGATAAGGGGTGCCCAAACTTTTTCCTACGAAGGGCCAAAAATCAAACTTGATTGTGGGCCGTGGGCCAAAAATAAATTTTAGCATCATAAATCAAACGGTATTACATTAAAGTTGCTATGGGTTTATTTGTTTTATAATATTTAAAATAAATATAAAACAACTTCAATCTGATTAACTAATGCAGTTTTATTTGTTAAGTTTTGCATTTTAAAGAAATCCCCTCTCCCCGGACGGTATGGCGGGCCAAATCAAAGGATATCACGGGCCAACTTTGGCCCGCGGGCCCTAGTTTGGGCATCTCTGGTTTAGATTAATCTTATATAATCTTATATAATGTGTTCGTGAGTGTATATATATATAAATTGTATATATCAACATTATATCAGACATTTTCCGTTATAATTTGTTAGTATGCATATACTTATACAGTTTTACTTTTTAATTTGTTTATAATTTAAAAAAATATAAAAATATTTAAATTAATTCATTAGTTTTTGCTTTCACAATCTGTGCATTATATAAAAACAATAACCAATATCTATTTCAATAATAATAATAATAATATTAAATATTACTATGTTGCATGGCAATTTAGAGAAAAAATGTTTCAATGCCATGAAAATATTGTCAAAATTAAACAAAATATTAAATGGTACAAAAATATTTTCATTGAACGCAATTTACTGGACACTACTGTTCAAAATGTTGGGGTAAGTAAGATTTTTAGCAAAGAAATTCATTATTTTATTCAGCAATGACATTAAAGTGATCAAAAGTGACCATAAAGAGAATACTAATGTTATACAAAATATTTAAATTTAAAATAAGTGATGTCATCACAGGAAAATATTTATAAAAGGACCCAAATAAATACATTTTAAAATATATATATATTTTTTTTTTCAAATAAATGCAGACTTCCCGACGGTCCCAAACATTTTAACGGTTGTGTATCCTTATTTGAAATTGTTTAAAAATGAAATAAAAATATACAAATTAAATTATTGAAATATTAATTAAAAATATATATTTTTTGAGCATGCGAAAAATAACTCCGACAGCAGTTATGGTGGCTGTAATGAGTTTGTATATGGCAGCACCGGGGAGCAGCCATTAATCTCACAGTAATGAGCTTCAGATGCACTTCACACGAGTGAGCTTCCTGGCTTCCTGACCCCGATGTGTCTCACACCTACTCGCCGAAGACAGACAGTGAATCACAGCCTGAGAGACAGAGGAGGAGGAATGCAAAGACTTTACGGCGTTTCATTCATTAGACATTCCAGTCACAGTCTGGCCAGCGGCGGCAGGGTCGTTTCCACGGATCAACAGTCGTCAGTTCCTCTGAAAGTGAGACCAGAGGGCTTTACGCGTCAGTTTGCACAGAGCACTGCGGAGAGGACAAACAACCGCCTCGCTAAATCTCGGATTTTGTTGTTTATTCCATTTTTCTACCCCAACATCACTTCAGTAGACGCCCAATCTGTCCTCGAGCCTGCTCGGAGCTGCAGAAACACAGCAAAAACATTCCCACACAACTGACAACCAGATGATGACGAATCATCACTGCTGTACTGAAAAGTGGATTTTCCAACAAAACATGCTATATATATATAGGGGTTTTTTGTTTGTTTTTGTGGATATGTCTACTGCTGTGGTTTAATGATCAAAGAAGATCAAAACAAACCATAGTTGGTCAATCTGCATATCATCCAGAGTTTCTTCCTATCTAAGTGGGTTTCTCTTTGTCCAAAGTAAGCTGCAAATGCCTATAATCAAAAGCCTGGATAGTCAAAAGACTGCCAAAATAGAGACAAGAGCCAATCCTCCAAACTCCCTCGAATATCAACCAATCTGCAGTCATACATCTCGACTTAATCATATCTCTGGATCTCATTGAATGACAGGACCCAAGTGACCTCCTTCATTCATGTAATACACACAGCAGTTTAGATAAGAGCTACACTTATCCCTGTGAATTCAGATCAGAACAGAGTGTATCAATCATCCAAGCTGATAAGAGCTGCTCCAGTGGAACGTGCACCGTTCAGCAAACTCTGCTCGAGTCTGAAAAAAAAGCTGTATTCAAATATTATTATGATTAATATGCTCATGAATTACTTTTTAATGACTTATTTAATTAATCAGGTATAAAAAGCGTGTGTACATAAATAATTGAGTACATAAAGAATTTATCCAAAAAAGATCTCCAAAACATGCAAAAAAAAAAAAAAAAATATATATATATATATATATATATATATATATATATATATATATATATATATATATATATAAATTATGCAGAATATAAATGCGTACAACAAATATATTAAAAAGGTTAAAAAAAATATTTGTAATACAATTAATTATAATTTTTATTTGCTTTTAGTTATAATAAAGAGAACCAGTATTAATAATTCACCAATTTAAAAAAGATCAAAGCATCTGAACATTTTGAAAACATTAAAAAATATATTATTTTGAAATGAAGTAAAAATACACATTAAATTAAAATAATTACATAATTAAATTAAAATTATTAAATACAAAAATATTAATATTATATATAATGATATTATTAATAATATTACATAATAATAATAATAAAATAAAAATAATAATATTATTATTTTTTTATTTAATAATTTTAATTTAATTATGTCAGTATTTTAATTAAATTGTATAAAAAATGACAGTTTTGGAGTCAATTATTTCTATTATTAATTTCAATTTTAATGTTTATTGTTGCAGCCCTATCCCAACCCGCATGGCAAAGGATTATTTAAATTAAAATACATCTAATTTAATTATGTAAATATTTTAATTAAATTTTATTTTAAAATATGACAGTTTGAGTCAATTATTTTTATCATTTATTTTAATTTTAATGCTTAATGTTGAAGCCCTATCCCAACCTGCATGGCAAAGGATTATGGGATTTCAGCTGAATAGATGAAGACATCTTAGCAGACAAGACGTTACACAACCACTGAACTTGAACATGTATTGATGCCTTCCTCTGTTTAGTGTGTATTTGTTCTCTCCGATACAGGGTGTCCGAGTTCAGGCTGGAGGAGCAGGAGGCAGATAAACAAGACAGCCCACCGCATTACCTCGCTCAGCCCTGATTATCCTCCTCTGAAACCCAGCACGCTCCGGCACTGAACCCCGCTGAGTCCGGAGAGCGAGGAACCCGAGGAACCTGCAGCACATCGGCACGTGTGAGATGAGCCTCACGCCGATGACGAGCTACTGAAGGTGCCTAGCACACGGGCCTCTGGCTTTTAACAAACTTGTGTCTCTCCGTGATGCTATTTCCAGCCATCCAGACAGAAGTCATGATTAATACATGCTGCTGCACAGCAAAAATAAAACATTCATGGAAGAGCCCTCCGACGGTGTCCCCTCTGAACAAGGAAGCTTTTTAGATTGTGGCAGCGCACCTCCTGCTTTCTCCTCCTGAGGGATGTAGATGGGAGGAGGCATTAAAGAGAAGGAGCATAAACAAAGGCTGGATGCTGTTTGTGCTTCCGCCGCACGTTCATGGGCTCGTCTCGCTGCATGCACGCTCTATTTTTGGAAGCCTCCCTGGACCAGACAGGAGCAGAGCCTGTACCATCATGGCATTTTAATCAGACCCACAGTGCATCTCGAACTGCACCCACCAACACAGCACTGCGGATGCATCAAGCATTGCAGTCAGGAGCACTCCTGCCACAGGTCAAGGGTCAGAACAACTAGTTATAATGATTTGCTGCATTAAGTGTACAAAAGTGTCAAAATAAAAAAAAAGGTTAATATGCATTATGCAGTATAGTTTTTTTTTTTTTTTTATATTTGTAACACATTTTTTTATTTTGATATTTGTAACACATGTAGTCATGTATGTGTTGTATTTGTATAGTCACTAGTAATGTATGTGTTTGTTTTTCCCTCTTAGGGACAACAGACGTCAGTTGTCAATTATATACTGCAGTATGTATTGATGTGCATTGTTACATAAATATATATTAAATAAATTGATAACATTTATTTGCTATATCATTAATATTAACAATTTATATTATTAAAACAAAATCATCATATATCATAATTACTTTTGTGTATACATATATACACAATAAACATATATTAAAAAAATCACAACAATGTGCAGTAGGGCTGTCAAACGATTAATCGTGATTATTCGCATCCAAAATAAAAGTTTGTGTTTATATAATATAGGTGGGTGCACTGTGTATAATTATTTTATCCATATATTATATATACTGTATATATATATATATATAAAAATACACACATATGCTTGTATATATTTAAGAAATATTTTCATGTATATACTGTATATACATTTTTATATAATTTATATTATATATAAATATGAATATTTTATATATAAATAATATTTTTTCTTAAATATACATGCATGCATGTATGTGTGTGTGTGTGTATATATACACACAAAACAATTATACACTGTGCACCCACATATATTATGTAAACACAAACTTTATTTTGGATGCAATTAATCGCGATTAATCGTTTGACAGCCCTAATGTACAATATAAAAAAAGGTAATTCATTTTGTGATTTCCTAAATATTATATATATCAGTTATTAAATTATAAATGTTTGTAAAAATTAAAGGTTAAAAGTTTAAAAAAATGTAGTATGTAGTCATAGTATGAAAATGTTCGCCTTATTGTTATAAATAAGCTGGTGTGTTACAAAATATATATAAAGATATAAGCATTCAAAACTTACAATCTCTCACTTCTGCTAAAATGGATCACGGAATTTTATGACATCACCGCGGACTTTAGCTGCTCATTACATCTTCTGTCCAATCAAATGCTCTCTAGCATCTAAAGTCCCGCCTCCAATGCCATAAATACCACCTGGTCAAAGCAATCATCGTTGACACATCACAGAGCACAGTGGCTTAGAGATGCTTGTTCGGTTGCTCAAAAACTCGTCTTAATACGTTTTCCAACTGTATGTTGGTTAAGAATGAAATGGATAGAGTTTATTCAAACATCTACTATTGAATCCAAGGTATTATCAGTGCTTGGATTCGCTTCCATGGTGCCGTCAACTACAACTTGCATTCTGTGAGGTAAACTGAACGCTATTAGCATTAGCTTCCCATTTCAGAAATGACTGAAATTAGGTAAACACATCAAATTAAGCTGTGAGTTTCAAGGCAAAACAGTGCGCCTTTGAGTCTACATTAGATGTGCATGCACAATTACATATCCCTACCATCCAACATTATCTAATAACCCTCACGATATCGATAGATTGTCATCAGGACAAAAGTAAGGAAAAGATCAACTGTACCCTGTAGACCAGAAGCAGAACATATTGACATAAACAGACAGCCAGGCAGAGACGGGACAGGAGCCCCCTGCGTCTAAGGCACATATGTCTCTGTCTGTATCATATCCTGATCCAGATTCACATTTGCAGAGACACAAACAACAGATATGGTAGCAAACATTAATTTACTTTGGCACTAAGATAAAGTATATAACAGAATTCCCACATCTTTTGACTCGTGATAAAATGTGGATTTTTAAAGTCCCCCTGTAGTCAACAAATGCATCCCTTAAATCCCAATCTAATCTTTGATCACCAAAATTACAAAAAAAATTCTTCATGCCTTAAAATATCTTGAATCTCCATCCTTGCCTCATTAAATATATGCGGTTCTATGAATATGCAAATGAGCACCGCCTCCACCCAATCACACCAGCTCAGAGATTCACTCGTTGATGATCACACGTTGAGGTGTATATTATATTAAATATTATAAAATTAATACATAATACGTATATATATCTCGCTGGCAGATGTATGTTTATATATTATGTTTATATATATATATATATTTCTTTTTAACACACACACAAATCACTGAGTTCAAAAACATCTAAAAAGTTTTTGTTCTCAATCAAAATCACAGCTGACGTAATATTCATCAGAATGATTGAGAGTTTAGAAGGTGTTCAAGAAAAGTTGAGTGAAATGCAAAAGACTGATAGATGTAGTAGTTGTGTGTGTGTGCGTGTGTGTGTGTTACTGAGATGGACAGACTGGCTGGCGGTGGCAGATGGCAGAAAGACGACACCAGAGCCTGATGGACTAGATGAGGAGAAGTCCGTCTGTCTGTGTGGCATGAGAGCCACCATTACATGATCACACACACACACACACACACACTATTTGTCCCTCTCTGCTAGTACAGTAGCACATGCCACATCACACAGAGGTACATTTGAGCCAACACAAAACACCATTCACAGCTCATTTTACTTCTGCAATCTGTAGGGTTAGCCCCCAATAGTCGACTAAACGTTCGTCGACAAGAAGAGGTCTGGTCGACTAAATTTTCACTAGTCGCAGGAAAACACTCGTTCACAAGACTGGTCCATGCGGCAGAAAATACAAAGTGTGGGAAGATTGACAGGGTAAAGAATGACCACAAAAAAGAGCCATGCGACCTCAAACATGACTTATTTATGTAGCCTATCTAGAAAAGGCTGTTATTTGTATAATACTTTGTTGTATAATTTGTATAATTTTGTTTGCGTTCTGATCTAACTGCTTAAAATAATTAAATGAACGATTATTAGTCAACGGGGAAAATCTTTAGTTGAAAGCAGCCCTAGTAATCTGACATATTCCCAAATATGACATAAAAGGGATTAATCTGGAATGAAATGTGACGTTGCCACACTAAATGCATAATTTTTTACACAAAACAAGATGTTTGAGGGGAGGGGTTGAAACAGTAGATAATGTGATAGATCGATAATTGGTTTTACAGATTCTTTACTGGTATGCACACTTCTCCACTAAATACCAGCGGTTAATTAACAATAGTTTAATGTGTCATGCATAAATTATTCTCTTTTTTTTTTCTTCAACACATCTAATCACAATTAAGCATTCACAAATGTTTGATGTAACATTAAAGTAAAATAATAATAAAAGTTGTAGTAATAAATTATAATTAGAGTATTAATAATGCAAAAAACATCAGGTGAATAATTTAAAAGAATTTCTTAGGATTTTGATGAAAATTTTTTAAGACAAACATTCTTTGAAAATGCGCACTGATGAAGCAGAAAGACAAGAATTGTGTTTTAGGAAAGTTTTCAACCACCATCAAACATCAGAAGAAGAGAGCAGTGTGTGTGTGTGTGTGTGTGTGTGTGTGATTCCTGTGAAGTTTTGAAAAGCTCTTCTAGGAAATGATTTCCCAGGAAAAAGAGCTTAACAATTATTAATTAGCCAAATATTGTGATGCATCAAAATGGGACAGTATTTAAAAAATAATATGAATTAAAAAATAATAAAACACAATAAAAAAATAAAACAATCATACATACACACACACATATATATATACATACATATATACATACACACACACACATATTCATATATATATATACACATACATATATACATATATATATATACTGTATATATATATATATATATATATATATATACACATGTGTACTGTATATATATACATATATTCTATATATATATATATATACATACATATACATATATACATACATATACATATATACACATATATATATATATATATATATATATATATACTGTATATATATATATATATATATATATATATATATACTCTATATTTAGCAACATCTTATCTGTTTATCCGTTGTAACGGTCTATATAGTGATGTTTTGATAAATATGAAGAGTAATTATATACATACGCGCAGTGTTTTATCCATTTCTAATTGTGTTTTTTTTTCTAATAACTGTTTTTCTAGTTTTCCCATTTATTCATATTCATTCATATTTATATATACAAAATATACTCTATAAATAGTATAAATAGTGTTTCTTAAGTGTAGAAAACACTACTAATTCACAGAAAGAACCAGTTCTCTATTTATCTTTGCTTAGCAAATAAGCAAACGGT